ACTAGCTCTCCAGCCCCTAATGATAATTTGATAGTTTTTTAAATAGACTCTTGAGCTACATTTGTTGAAACCCACTCCCATTCTGTGGAACGTGCTCTATGCTTTCTACTCTGACATGTAATGAATCTGTACTTTCACTAGTAAAACAACAGACACAAATACAGAATGTGCTGGCTAATGCCTATGATCTCAGCACTCAGGAGGTTGAGGCAGGAGATTAGCCCAGAGTTCAAGCCAGGGCAGGCTACACAGTGAGTACCAGGCTAACAAGAGCTATTGAGTGAGACCATCTCAAACAACAGCAAATCCATATATATATAACCAATTGCTAAACATGGAAGGCTATGTAGATAGGGAAATGTTCGTTGTCATTGAGAATTAGAAATTTTCAACTCAAAACAATCCTGGCATAGTACTTTATATCCGCCACAGCAGCAAAAAAAAAAAAGTGTGTGTGTGTGTGTGTGCGCGTGCGTGTGTGTGTGTGTGTGTGTGTGTGTGTGTGTGTGTGTGTGTGTGTTGCTAAAAATCAAACTCAGGGCCTTATGCAAGCTAGACAAGCAAGCTATCACTGAGATGCCCCTCTAGCTCTTGCAAAAGTGTGCTTTTTAAAATATTTTATTTGTATGAGTGTTTTGCCTGCATGTATGTCTGAGCAGTGCCTGGTACACAGGGAGGCCAGAATAAGGCACTGGATTCCCTGAAACTAGAATTACAAACAGCTGCGAACTACCATCTGGATGTGGGAATTGAACCCAGGTCCTCTGAAACAGCAGCCAGTGCTTTTAACCACTTAGCTTAATAGGAAGGTGGAGGCAGGCAAATTAGGGGTTTAAGATCAGGCTCAGTCTCATAGTGAGTTCCCAGCTATCCATCCTGAGTTGGGGGGAGGGGAGGGTATAATGCTTGAGAGTCTGGTGTAGGTCTTCAGCACAGCAAACAAACAAAACAAAAACAAAAAAAGCTGCTACCGCCGGGCGGTGGTGGTGCACGCCTTTAATCCCAGCACTCGGGAGGCAGAGCCAGGCGGATCTCTGTGAGTTCGAGGCCAGTCTGGGCTACCAAGTGAGTTCCAGGAAAAGGCGCAAAGCTACACAGAGAAACCCTGTCTCAAAAAAACTAAAAAAAAAAAAAAAAAAAAAAAAAAGCTGCTACCATACAGTTTGTGCTGACTTGAGTCACCTGGGAAGAGGGATTGCATGGCTGTGGGACATTTTCTTTGTTTGAAACAGGGTTTCACTACGTAGCCCTGGCTTAGCCTGGAACTCACTATATAGACCAGACCTAGAACTCCTAGAGATCTGCTGTCTATATTGGAGGGTTAAGAGGAATTCATAACAGTGAAAGATGAAACATGCTACTAGAATGTTAGTTCTAGGGGAGAGGGTTAATTCAGTTAAGATGAGATCTGAGCTAAAAGATGGAGGAAATGAGCAGAGAGGTCTACTTCAACCTGACGAAAGAGTGCTTCAGGCAGAGGGAACAGAAAGTGTAACAATATCCCTGAGACAAGAGTACCCACTGATTCTGTCTGGCCTGTGTACAATACTTTGAAAAACAGTGATAAATTCATTAGGCTGAAGTGATATAGTCAAATATCTTTTATCTTAATTGATCTAATATAAACAACCTCAGAGGGAGGTGACATGGCAAAAAAATCACTTCACCCAGTCCTCTTCCAAAAGGTAGTCAGCCAGACACAAAGTGTTAACTTCATCTTCAATATGCTCAATCCTTTTCTACATATGAATGGAAATACTGTCACAGTTCAGCGAAGGAAAGGGTCATCAAAGCAAAAGAAAAAAGTCTTAAATGAGTTTAATTATTTGTATATGTGTTTGTGTATGTGCATGTGAGGGGAATGTCCAAAGAGGCCAGAAGAGGGCGTCATATATCCTGGAGCTGGAGTTACAAACAGTTCTGAGCTGCCCAACCTAAGTGCTAGGAACCAAGCTCTGGTCATCTGCAAGAGCAGTACATGCTCCAAACTGCCGGATCATCTGTCTCTCCAGTCTCTGGTTTTGTGGATTTAAATGGCATGGATACTCTACCAATCTTCAAATAAAATCCTTAATCCAACCTCTGTTCTGAACTCCACACTCAGATTCATCTGTATACATGACTTCTACATAAATATCTAATAGCCACCTCAAATTTGAAAGTCTAAGGGCCAGTGCGATGGTCCACATGGTCAAAGGAGAAAACAGACTCCAGCAAGTGGTCCTCTGACCTCCATACACATGCCATGGGACACATATACCCCTTACTCCACTTCCCCCACAAAATAAATAAATAAATGGAAAGAATTTTAAACACTTGAATGTCTCAAATTAATTGACCACTGTTCTCCATTTGCTCTTCTAAAACACAGACACACAGACACACATACATACATACATACACATGGAGGGGGGCGCTATTTGTTAAGTATTTTGGTTTTTCAAGATAGGGTTTCTCTGTGTACCTTTGGTTGTCATGGAACTCACTGTAGACCAGGCTGCCCTCAAACTCACAGAGATCTGCCTGCCTTTGCCTCCCGATGCTGGGATTGAAGGCATGTGCACCGCACCGCCACTGCCGCCGCCCAGCTAACATGAATGCAAGTGGGGGTGAGGCTGCTAACAGTTAATAGCAAATCAATCATTTGCTCAGGTTATCTTAACTCTTCTCTTTTGAAAAGGAAAACAAAAGCAAAACCCACCTGTAACCATAGCACTAGGGAGACCAGTGAGGTGGAGGCAGAGGATTTGGAGTTCAAGACCAGCTTTGGCTATATAACAAGTTTGAGAACAGCCTGAGCTACATGAGACCCTGTCTCAAAACACACACATGCATACGCACATGCACACGCACACGCACTGAAGGGGGCTGACAAGATGGCTCGGTGGGTAATGGTGCTTGCTGCCAGGCCTGACAACCTGAATTTAACTCAGGACCCACCTTATAGAAAAAGAAAGTCCCCTCTGGAAAGTCGTCCTCTGACCTCTACACATGCTACCTGCTCCTTGACAAGAGTAGAGTGCCCCCCACACACACATACACATAAAATAAATAAAAATAAATTGGAGCTAGGTGTGGTGGTGCACGCCTTTAACCCCAGCACGTGGGAGGCAGAGGCAGGTGGATCTCTGTGAGTTCAAGGCCAGCCTGGTCTACAGAGCAAGTTCCAGGACAGCCAAGGTTACACAGAGAAACCCTGTCTCAAAAAAACAAAGAACGCCAGGCGGTGGTGGCGCACGCCTTTAATCCCAGCACTCGGGAGGCAGAGCCAGGCGGATCTCTGTGAGTTCGAGGCCAGCCTGGGCTACCAAGTGAGTTCCAGGAAAGGCGCAAAGCTACACAGAGAAACCCTATCTCAAAAAACAAAACAAAACAAAAAAGAAATAAAAACCATAAGCAAAACCAGACATGGTGGCATATGCCTGCGATCTCAGGTGGAGGCAGGAAGATCCAGAATTTCAGGTCATTATCAGCTACATAACAAGTTCAAGTCCAGCTTGGGCAACAGAAGAGTCTGTCTTATTAACTCTCAGCCCCGAAGGGGGGAAAAAACAGTAAATACATAAAATAGGAAGTCAGTTCTTGGAAGTCCTATCCTTAAAACCTTTGTGGTTTCCCCATCTATCAGATCTAAAAGCTATCGTGTTCCTTGGCCCTAAAGACCCCAGGTCACCTGCCCCATCATCTCTCTGACCTCCTACTCCTTGAACACCCCTCTAGGCCTCCTTAGTGTTTCTCAAGCAGATCAGGCATGAGCCCAACTCCAGGCCACCGGCTTGTCATCCTGTGTTCCACATGGTGGCAGGAGACAACTACAACTGATTCCTGTAATTGTCCTCTGACCTCCACAGCCACCATGGCAGGAGTACTCATGCGCGCGCGCGCGCGCACACACACACACACACACACACACACACACACACACACACACACACACACGGGAAGAGAGAGAGATGTTTAGACGAACTGGGTGTCTGCTCTATGTTCTGTTTCGCAGAGGAACATTACTGCAGGCTGTGTTACCTCCTGGGGCAGAAGAAGGTTTGGTTTTTCAGGTCGGATGTCCTTCCAGCTCCTTGGATGCTCTTTGTCCACCACCACTACCCATTTCCTCTTCCCCATCAATGCTCTAAACAATGCCTTTCTTAGGGCTCTGTCCTGGCTATATCTGTCTCATTACAAATCCTTCTCAGTCTATCTCACACTCAACAATTCCCCACATGCCAGTGATACATATGAAATTGAGCCCCAGGCCTTATATAGCTGATTTCTCAAAATCCTAGTGGACTTAAACTTGACAGGATCAGAACTGAATTTTCTGAGGGGGGGTGCAGCTCAGTGACAGAGAGCTTGCCACGGTGGGTATTTGAGAACACCCATAGCAGTGAATCGGATCTGTAGCATTGAGAAAAAGACAAACAAAACTAGGGCCTTGGGCTGCGTTAGTTCCGTAGACAGAGTGCTAGCTGGTACGTGCAGAGTCCTGGGTTTGATCCCAGCACTGTATAAATGGAAGTGGTGGCACATGTCTGGAGTGTGAAGTGTCGACTTATGAGGTGAATGGGGAAGGTTCTAAGTTCAAGGTAAGGGCTGCAGGGATGGCTCAATAGTTAGGGGGTACTTGTTGCTCTTCCAGAGGACTTGAGGTGGTTCCCAGCACCCATGTCCAGTGACTCACACTGCCTGTATCTCCAACTCAAGGAGATCTGATCCCTCTTCTGGCCTCTGGAGACACTTGCATGCATGTGGTACCCACACAGAGAGAGACATGTGCACATACACGTAAGTGATACTTTAATAAATCTTTTTAAAAATGAAGTTCAAGGTCACCCTTGGCTGCATACCAAGTACAAACTGAGCCTTAGCTATATGAGACCTTGTCTCCAGAAAGAGAGAGACATGGGCTAGAGAGATGGCTCAGCCATTAAAGGCTAGGCTCACAACCAAACATATAAGAGAGAGAGAGGTGGACACCAGGACTGCAAGATGGCGTCGTCCCTCATGCCACTGAAGGATAAAAAGCTCATGGAGGTTAAACTTGGAGAGCTGCCAAGCTGGATATTGATTCGGAATTTCACCCCCAGTGGCATAGTGGGAGCCTTTCAGAGAGGTTCTGACGGGTATTACAAGTACATCAACGTGCGGAAAGGCAGCATCTCAGGGATTAACATGGTGCCGGCAGCCTACGTGGTTTTCAGCTGCTGCATTTCTTTTCTTTTTCTTTTCTTTCTTTTTTTTTTTTTTGGTTTTTTTGAGAGAGGGTTTCTCTGTGTATCTTTGCACCTGGAACTCACTCTGTAGCCCAGGCTGGCCTCGAACTCACAGAGATCCGCCTGCCTCTGCCTCCCGAGTGCTGGGATTAAAGGCGTGCACCACCACCGCCTGGCCAGCTACTGCATTTCTTACAAGGAATTCAAACATGAGCGGTGACGCACGTACCACTGAAGAAGGGTCACTGGAGGGCACTGCACACCTGAGCATAACCACTGAAGAAGGGTCACTGGAGGGCACTGCACACCTGAGCATAACCACTGAAGAAGGGTCACTGGAGGGCACTGCACACCTGAGCACAACCACTGAAGAAGGGTCACTGGAGGGCACTGCACACCTGAGCATAACCTCTGAAGAAGGGTCACTGGAGGGCACTGCACACCTGAGCATAACCACTGAAGAAGGGTCACTGGAGGGCACTGCACACCTGAGCATAACCTCTGAAGAAGGGTCACTGGAGGGCACTGCACACCTGAGCATAACCACTGAAGAAGGGTCACTGGAGGGCACTGCACACCTGAGCATAACCACTGAAGAAGGGTCACTGGAGGGCACTGCACACCTGAGCATAACCACTGAAGAAGGGTCACTGGAGGGCACTGCACACCTGAGCATAACCACCTGCCCCACTCCCATCCATGAATTCAACTGTGGCTGAGTCTTCATGGCTTAAAAACTAGTGTCCAATAAAAGGTGACAGGCTCATGCAAAAAAAAAAAAAAAAGAAAGAAAAGAAAAGAAAAAGAAAAACAGAGGGGGGGGGAGACCAGTGAAACTGAACTTTGTGTTCTCTAACCCAAATTCTCCTGTCTTCACTCAGACATGTTGTCCCTTGTCATATAGCAGGGTATAATTAAGACCAACAGATGTTTCCTCTCCTGGATAGAAGAGGAAACGTGCACAGCATTCATTATGACCAGATGAAGGTGTGGTGAGCTGTCCTGAATGTCCGTTTAGTCAGCAGGCTGCCGAGTGGAAGAATACTTATCCTGTTTTCCCTTTAAAGTCCCGAGTTGCTCAGCTGTGGATTAATGTAGGGCTGAACTACAGATGGCTTCAGCAGGACGTTGAACCTCCCCCAGCTGCCCGCCTGGGGCTGGCAGGAGTCACTGAGGTCAGCAGAGTCGGGTGTATGTTTAGAAATGGGTACTGCTTTGATGCACTGACAGGCTTGCTGTTCAGAAGGCTCTGAGTCACTTGTGGAGTTCAAGACAGATGCCTGTCCTCTGAAGACACTCCAGGAAAATGCCTGGCTTTCTTTCCTGCTGTGGGCTGTCTCAGGCAGACACTGGTTCTTATAGAGTGTCCTGTGAAGGAAGGTGCTGGTTCTGACAAGAGAAATTTCAAAGCTGAATATTGGGACAATAGTCCCCAATGTCAAGCTCCTCATGGGTCCTGTTGACATGGAGGGATACTGAGCAATCTGGGTCTTGGCATGGTTGAAGTTTTGGGAACCTTAACAGAAACCTCTGGGTTTCTAATTTGTACTAAAGGAATGAGAGGGAACCCCTGAGTGGGGGCTATGCACAGATCCAGGGTGCAGTGTCTGCTTCTCTCTCAGGCTGCAGCCGATACCCTCAGTGTTGCCAAGAGCCAGCAGCTGCCGGCCCTCCTGAACGCCACCTTTATTTGTAAAAAGGGATCTGCTCTGGCCTGGTCGGTCTCCAGGGCAGAGATTTCATGCTACCTGTCATGAGATCTGAGGAACCCTCTTGGTTCAAGTGCCTGCTACTGGATCTGGACCAGTCAGCTATGCTATGGGGACATGGTCGCACAGTACTGTTACTGTACTGAAGTTCCCAAGAGAGAGAAGGATAGAGAGACAGAGACAGGGAGGGAGGAAGGGAAAGAGGGAGGGAAAAACGGAGGGAAGGAAGGAGGGAGGGAGGGAGGGAGGGAGAGACAGGAGAGGAGGAGACAGACAGAGAGAGAGGGAGAGGGAGAGAGAGAAAGAGAAACAGACTATTAATACAAGGCCAAATGACTGAACTTCCTGGTTACGGAGAGTTAAAATGTTGCAGACAGACAAGAGCCAAATTATCTTGGGCTATTTTTAGTCCCTTTGAAAGCCATTCATTGTCTACCCCTATGTCTGACCTAAGCTTGTGACTATTCAAACCTTAAAAATGTATTCTCAGCAAACCATTAGCTTCCACCAATCTAAAAACTAAGAACGTCACCAGACAGCATGTGAGGCCTGACACAGAAATTTCTCCACTTTGCTGCAACTGTAACTCAAGCATCTGATGTTTCCATCACTGGATTTTTTTTTTTTAATGTTTATAGGTATTTTACCTGCATTTACATCTGTGGAGGACAGAAGAGGACATCAGATCCCCTGAGACTAGAGTCACAGAGGATTGTGAGCTGCCATGTGGGTGCTGGGACTCTAACCTGGGTCCTCTGGAGGATCAACCAGGGTTCTTAACTGCCAAGGAACCTCTCCAGCCCCTCCGCCAATGTACTTTAAAGTTGTCTTAATTTAAGGTCTGGGTTTATAACTCAGTTGGTAGAGTGCTTGCCTAGCATGAAGCCCTGTGTTTAATCCTGACCACTACAGAAATGGAGGATGGTTTTACTTTTTATTTATTTTTTTGGGGGGGGTTGAGACAGGGTTTCTCTGTGTAGTTTTGGTGCCTGTCCTGGATCTCGCTCTGTAGACCAGGCTGTCCTCAGATTCACAGAGATCTGCCTAGCTCTGCCTCCTGAGTGCTGGGATTAAAGGTGTGTGCCACCACTGCCCGGCTGGAGGGTGGTTTTAAACACCTAGAATCCATTAATTGGGAAAACCAACTTCTGCAAGTTGACCTCTGACCCCTGTAGATGTAACCAACCGTCTTATTAAATAAGAAACACAGAGCCGATTCAGAAAAGAAAGCCAAGAGGTCAGAGCTAAGAGTCTCACCCTTCCTGATTCAGCGATCCTCTTCAGCCAAGAGAGCTCTCCGAAAGGGACCTACTTCCTGTGTGTATGTCTTTATAGTCTTTCTGTTCTGCCTTCTCATTGGTTGTAAACCCAAACATGTCACTGCCTGAATGTACCGCCCTCCAGGTCCTTAAAGGCATGCGCCACCGCCGCCATGCACTTGCTATGGCTCTAATAGCTCTGACCCCCAGGCAACTTTATTTATTAACATACAATTAAAATCACATTTCAGTACAAGTAAAATACCACCACAGACCCCCACATGTATACTGTGACATGTTCTTGGACATACATATACACACACAATAAATAAATAAAATGTGTGGTAGTTTGAATGTAATTGGCCCCCATAATGTCACAGGGAGTGGCACTACTAGGAGGTGTGGCTTTGTTGGAGGAAGTGTGTCACTGTGGGGGAGTGCTTTGAGGTTTCCTGTGCTCAGGATACCACCCAGTGTCTCACTGGACTTCTTATTACCTGTTTGTCTGCACGCCACCATGCTCCCCACCATGATGATAACAGACTGAACCTCTGAAACTGTAAGTGAGCCACCTCAACTAAATGTTTTCCTTGTAAGAGTTGCTACGGTCATGGTGTCTCTTCATAGCAGTAGAAACCCTAACTAAAACAGAATGTAAAAAGTTTTTTTCAGTTGGGTGGTGGTAGCACACGGCTTTAATCCCAGCACTCGGGAGGCAGAGCCAGGCGGATTTCTGTGAGTTCAAAGCCAGCCTGGTCTACAGAGCGTGTTCCAGGACAGGCACCAAAACTACAAAGGGAAACCCTGTCTTGAAAAACAAACACACAAACAAAAAAGATGATAGGACTAGAGAGATGGTTCAGTGGTTAAGAATACTTGTTGCTCTTGCAGAGGACCGGGGTCTGACTCCCAGCACCCACACGGTAGCTCACAGCAGTCAGTTCCAGGAGATCTGATGCCCACTTCTGGCCTCCAAGAGCACTGCATGCACTTGCGTGCATAGACAAGTAGACAAACATACATACACATGAAATAAAAATAAGCAAATTTCTTTCTTTTTTTTTTTTTTTTTAAGAGACAGGGTTTCTCTGTGTAGCCCTGGCTGTTCTGGATCACTCTGTAGACCAGGCTGGCCTCGAACTCAGAGATCCGCCTGGCTCTGCCTCTTTAGTACTGGGATCAAAGGCGTGTGCTTCCTCGGTTGCAGCCACCACCACCACTGCCCCACAAGTAAAGAAACAAGTAAAAACAGATTCACCATGTGGCCTGCTATACCACAGCTGGCAAACTCTACGTCAACATAGCACAGATGCTTGCCCGTGTGTGTTTGTTGCAGCACTGTTCATAACAGCTAAGTCATGGGACTAGCCTGGGTGCCCAGTCACATAGGAATGGATGAAGAAAATGGGGTACATATACACAAAGGAATTTTTTCAGCTGTACTGCAGAAAAAAACTTTGTCATTTCAGGGGAAAATGAATGCAACAAGCAATATGAAGTAAATTAATAACGTATGTTTCTCTTGTGCAGTTTCTAGATTTTCTTTAGATGTATAAAATCATGTATGTACCTATGATAGGGAAAGAAAGGGGACTGTTGGGGGAGGGGTGTGAGGTGGGGAAGGGACTATGAGGACATGTACTCAGTGTTCAAAATACACGCTTATATGACTCTGTCCTTGTATAGTATAGTACCATGTACAGTAAATATATACAACGAAAAAAAAATTTTTTTGAGACAAGGTCTCATGTAGCACAGGCTGGTCTAGGATGACTATGAGCACCCCATCTTCCTGTCTCCTCTTCCCAAGTGCTGGGATTATAGGTGTGGGACTTTATATGAAATGACAATCTAAAAAATAAAGTAACTGGGTGTGGTGGCATTCAACTTTAGCCCCAGCATTCAGGAGGCAGAGGTAGGAGGATCTCTGTGAGTTCTAATCCAGCCTGGTCTATATAGGGAGCTCCAGAACAGTCAGAGCTACATAGAGAGACCCTGCACACACATGCACACACACACACACACACACACACACACACACACACACACACACACACACAAAGAAAAGAAAAAAACTGAAGAAGCTCAGTGTTGATTTGGAAGCTCAGTGTTGATTTGGAAGCTCAGTGTTGATTTGGAAGCACGAGCTTCTCTATGGAGCTCTGAGGACTTGATGTGAGCTTGTCTCAAGCAAATCTTTGGCCCGAGGCTGGTGTGTGTTGAATTAGCTGCAGTGTTCTGAGCTCCTTGGA